CCTATACAGCAGGAAGAAGTTTGGAGAGAAATAACTACGTCCATATTCCCAGATATTGTTTATAAATGTTCTTTTACATTTAAAGGGGGATATGATATAGATATTAATAATTTCATTGGTATGGATTTTAAGGTCAATTTTGTTATATGTATATATATTTCTGATCTTGACTGATGTATTGTGATTGTATAGTTCATTTTAAAAATGTAATGTATAATTAGAAAATATAGGTTGTTAATGGATAATCATCGATAATAGTCAAGCTTGTAGTAATGTTAGTCTGATTTTCTAGAAGTGCACAGATATATTTCAGATAGACATTCATATCTTTCAAAGACTACAGAGCATGGCATTTAGTGTTTTAATTACTTAGGACTTTTCATGACAATGAGACACGTCTGCTCCTGGCAGCACCAATCTACTTCAAGAGGAAGATGGGCATCGAAGAGGCTCCTTATGGAGTTGGTTAGCCATTTGGGCAAGAAACTGCTCTTGCCTGGACTGTTGTATAAACTGGACACAAAGAACCCACAGAGAGAGGACTGCTGAACTTGCCTAAAGGTGAGATGATCTTTCGGGGTTCCTGATTCATGAAAGAGTCTGCGAGACATTCTGCAGGACACAGCAGATAGTGACTGAATTGCCTTTGAAATTTCCTGCTTCATGGAAATGTCTCTGGATATTATGGACCTGAAGGCTGAAGATGGATGCCCCAACGATACAGAGGAACTTTGGGTGACTGTCCAGGCAGCGAGATTTCTCTGTCATTTCTAGAGTTTTGGAAGTTGCTTACTTCTTGTTTACTTAGGTAATATATCCTTCTGGAGTCTTTGATGGAGTTAAAGAATGAATAGTCGTAGTTATAGTTTTCCATTATTATGATAAAGATATAGTTATAAATATTGTGACTGTAATTCTTGCTTGATAACTGTTTTGTTATGTATAATTTTACTATGTTAAAATGAAAGACTTTCTTTTTTGTTTAAACAGAAAAAGGGGAAATGATGGAGGAGGGTTATCTGTCTATTGTGTTATTTTCATTGGTCAATAAAGAGACTGCCTTGGCCCCTTGATAGGACAGAAAATTAGGTAGGCGGAGTAAACAGAACAAAATGCTGGGAAGAGGGCTATGAGCCAGACGCCATGGAGCCAGCCACCAGGTCAGACATGCTGAATCTCTCCCGGTAAGCCACCACCTCGTGGTGATATACAGATTAATAGAAATGGGTTAACCAAGATGTGAGAGTTAGTCAGTAACTAACTCTCTAGAGATAATGGGCCAGGCAGTGCTTAAATGAATACAATTTGTGTGTTGTTATTTCTGGGACTAAGCTAGCCATGCAGGAGCCGGGCGGGATGAAAAGCCGGCCTGCCCGCAGCCCCTCACTACACCTTAGTTGAAATATTTACTTTCCTGCTCCCATATTCATCCTTCCTCCATCCCACCCATCCCATTCCCCCAAACTATCCCGAATCCTCCCCTTCTCCCTTCTCTCTACCCATCTCCCCTTACATCCACCTCCTCCCCCGCCCCCGTGCACCCAAGTTTGCCTGGCAATCTTGTCTACTTTCAATATCCAGGAGGATAACTATATGATTTTCTTCAGGTTCACCTTCTTATTCAGCTTCTCTAGGATCACGAATTATAGACTCAGACCTTTAACTATGGCTAGAAACCACTTATGAGTGAGTACATACCATATTCTCTTTTGGGTCCGTTTACCTCACTCAGTAAAGCGTTTCCTATTTTCATCCATTTGCATGCAAAATTCAAGATGTCATTGTTTTTTACTGCTGAGTAAAACTCTAATGCGTATATGTTCCACACCTTTTTAAACCATTCTTCTATTGAGGGTCACCTAGTTTGTTTCCAGGTTCTGGCTATTACAAATAATGCAGCTATGAACATAGTTGAACAAATACTTTTGTAGTATGATAGGGCATCTCTTGGGTATATTCCCAAGAGTGGATTGCTGTGTCCTGAGGGAGGTTGACTCCCAGTTTCCTGAGAAACCGCCACACTGATTTCCACAGTGGCTGCACAAGTTTGCATTCCCACCAACAATGGATGAGTGTTTCCCTCACTCCACATCTTCTCCAGCATAGGCTATCATTGGAGGGATGGCTCAGCCATTAAAGGCTAGGCTCACAACCAAAAATGATCTTATATCTTAAATTAACCCATTTTTTGTTATTTTCTACTTGCAAGTTTCCAGCTGGCAGCTCATGTCTTTCTTCTCTGGCTGCTCAATGGCTTCTCCCTGACTTCACCTACTCTCTCCCTAATATATATCTTCCAGCCTGGCTAATTTCTGTTAAGTCATTGGCTGAAGAAAGTAACTTCTTTATTAACCAATAAAAAGCAACATATATACAGAAGGACTTGCCACACCACTAATATTGTTATGCATCCACTTAAAATTTAAGTTTTATGAACATTAATATTTACACATTTTGTTAATATTTTGGAATATGCTTTAAGTTGACAATAGTTACCAATCTGTAACCACAAGACAAAATAAAGTAGACACTTCTTTCCTATAATTGAATGACCCTTTGAATGAACTAAGGTAAGAAAAAACACAAAGCACTTCATGGACATTTCCCCCTTACACAAGAAATACTCCTTGGATGGCTATGTACAGGTGCATTGCACAGTATGACCTCAATGTCATTAAACTAATTGTATAGAAATGTGATAGAGATTTGCCACAAAACAAATGACTAAGTCAAAGGCATAAAAGTCTACTTGGACAAATTAAACCATTGTGCTGTTTTATTTTAGCAGGGAGCCAGAGGGAGGTAGGGAGCTTGTGAATTTCTGCTGCTTTGTTCAGAGCTCTGTTGTACCGTGGCAGGTTTAGTACAGCTTTGATTTATTACTGAATTTGATTGTTCTCTACAAATGACTGAGTTTCTCTTGAAGAAGTGTGCCGTAAGGATGCTCTGATCATCTGTTTTCATTTGTAATATAATTACCACGCAATACTTAGTTTAGAGCCCAAGACATCATCATCCCTTCCTATCAGTTCTATCTGGCAAGCTTTCCTGCACTTCCTCTTATAAAGCCTGTGTTACAAATGCTACCCCAGTACTGAAAAATGAAAAAAAAAATAGAGTTAAAGGGGCAAATATCCACACAGAACGCTTAACCTAATTACTAATATTGTGAACCTTAACTCAATGTATTTTATTTCTACAAAAATAAATGTTGCTACAAGAATACCTGTTGATCTTAAAATTTACAATGTATAATGATGTTTTCTATTTCTATTTTATGATATTTTAGGATGGGAAAATTTATCTTAATACAAGCAGTACAATTATTATTATCTAATCATTATTACATGTACTTACAGACTACATAAAAAACAATAAACATTCTGACAACCATCACATCTTGATAAGTTAAGTTTTGCATCTCCAGTCTCGCAGAGGAGTTCACATTGCTAAATTCTAACTCTTATGTATGAATTTCTAAAAAAGAACTTTTTATTATACCATGTTAATAATAGAATGAAAATAAGTTTTTTTAAAGATGTAAATTAAAAAATAGCTGTAAGGATGATCTAGAAAGTTATCCCAAAGTGTGTGGGCACAACTTCAGTTTCAAGATAAATACTTTCAATTTTTCATGCAAACATTAACAGTAAATTATAAATGTGACTTTGATTGTTGGGTTATAATTAATTAAGTAAGTAATTACTAAGTAATTTACCCTTTTTCTATCATTCTATGGTCACTTTAAATGCACAATTCATTCCTTCATAACGAAATTTTGAGATGTAGTTAGCTTTCTGTTATCTACATTCTGTAAAAAAAAAAGGAAAGAATAAAAATAGTTAATATACAAGTGCAGAATGAATAATATCTCGATGAAAGAGACAGTATGATAAGAAACTTTTATAATTATAGTTGTCTAAACATTTAAATCCTGTTATGTTTACATTGAAAATAATGGAGTTGTTTAAGTGAAAATTTGGAGGCAAATTTTGTACACAATATGTATCTGATGATACCTCAACCAAGTTCTCTGCCTAATGTAAAAGTACACATAAGCAAAGGCATAGCTCTGGTTTGCATACCATACTTCTTAGGAAATATTACCTCTTATAAAAAAAAATAAAAGCCTCAATATGCTGATTTCATGAAAATGTTTTTTGTGGTGGATGTTAAATTCTTTCCACCTGTTTATCTCATTGAGGACATTTACTTTCTTTGAGTTTCAGACAAATAATGTCTGAGTGTGGTCATGTTTTAGTGTGAGAGAAGACTCTTTGCTCTTCCTTGCTGACTACCCACCCCCCACTCCCAACCCAGAACTCAGTTCTGGAAAACAAAAACCTTTGATTAGTTCATAACTTAAAATTCACTTATTCTGTTATCCCATTGTGTACCCTTAATGAAATTTTCTTCAGATACAAGCGCACATCAAGTAGACCAGGAGACTACATTTCAGGGTATTAATGGACATATAAGGAGAGATCATTTGAGGAAACTAATGGAGTCTATCTGTACAAAAAGAAACTCCAAAGGCACTTCATTTATTTCTGCAATGTATTTTCAGACTTACAGAATTCTCCCAAATAAGTGTACACCGCCTTACCCAAAACATTTTCCAATTAAGTGTCCATAAGTGTCCATGCATGTCTCTGAATAGCCAAGTGGGTCTATAAAACGTGTGCCTTGAATAGAAGAAAACGAAACAAAACAAAACCAAAAAGAACATCGTCAGTCTAGTTGCAAACTTCATCTAAAGCACCAATTTGAAATCGAGTCCTCTGTCAATGACAGAAGGTTCCAGCGTGGTGCCTGTTTCATAATACTGTGTACAGCTGACTCTCTGCAGCTGAAGTTGCCAGCAAGCCTGAACTGGAGCGTGAGAGTCCTTTGGTTAACAAATTCCCGCAAAATACTCCCCCACCTACAAAACCTCAGGAGCTGTAGTGATGTCATATCCGTTGCTCAGGTCTCCACACCTCTCAGCAGTTACTCCCTTTATCTTCTTGGGTCAAAACTTTTGAGGTGGGCTGGATAGCAAGCAGAAGGGGAGAGGGTAGACCGGGGCGCACCAGGTGGAGGCGCTTCAGCACCTCGGCCAGCGCCCGCTGCAGCGGGTCCCAGCCTTCTGAGCTCCCCGACTCCCGACTCCCCACTCTGAGATGCCTGCGGAATGATCGCCCCCCAGGGCGGCTGCTGCTGCTGCCTCTGCTGCTTCTGCCGTCCCCTTCTCTGCCTCTACTCTGCTCTGACTGGAAGGCAGAAAGTGCAACTGACGTGGGAAAGGTCTCCGCAGTGAGTGGAGTGGCTACATAAAACAGAGTAAAGAGAGGCAAAAACCCACATCAGAATGCAGGCGAGGTCCAGCCTTCTCAACCTCCTTCTTCTGTCTTTACTTGCCGGATTAGATCCTTCCAAGGTAGGGGCAATATTTGGACTCGTTTGAAATAAATGTGCAAAATGTAATGACTTGATGGAGATGGGGGTAAAATGTCCAAAACGGCATGGGGGACTGTTCTTTCGGCTACCCTGTGGTGCCTGGTGCATCCACAGTGCTCGGAAGATAACAAGGTGAACTACCAGAGGGCTAGCTAGCTTCTTAAGGTAGAGTCCTGCTGTGAGGGGGGGGGAGGGACCAGAGGAGATAATGTATATGTGTAACGGGCAATGCGGTTCTCCGGGGAATTTAGCTTATTCGCTGTCCAGCTGCTCAATGCTCTCTTCTGAAGTAGGACGGGCCATCCAAGGGAGTTTGCAGTAGAAACAATGCAGTTTATACGCCTATGTTAGATGGTGAGCGGTCTCTTTGTTGAAAGCAGGGAAGCGTTTCCAGCTGATGCTGGTCAGTAATACTCCCATCGCAGATGTGCTGCGGTTTGTGTCCAAAACATTGGGGAGGTTGCTTGTAACCCACGGCAGAGCAGCAAAGCTACACTATCTGCATGGCTAACAGACATTGCTGCGAGAGGGACTTTGTGTTCCCTTCCTTTTACTGAGGAAAACTGGGGAACCCCAAGGAAGTTCTGGTGATCTTTGTTGAGACAGGAAGTGAGAAGCCTCTTAAACTAAGGAGGGTAATAGAAAGGATGAGTTACGATATAGCTGTGGAACTCTGTAAATTATCCAGCAATGAAAGTGAACGCTCAGCTCATCTGGTACAAAGCGGAGACGGATGGAATTATATTTTCAGCGATGTTTGAGGAAAACCTTAAGGATAAAGGGTGGTCATTTCTGAGAGGGAAGCATTCTAAGAAATGCATAGTTCTCTAGAGTAAGAGAAAAGGCAGCTGATAAAGTAAGGGATGGAAAGCATTTTTCTTTCCATACTTAGCTGGTGGACAGCACTGTGACATGATTGGGAAAATTATGCCATATTATAAATGCATTCAGTGCTGTGTTTTGAGTCTTGTAAAGTTATTTTATTGGCTGGCATTGTCTGTTTAATTAAGGAAGACAATGGGCTATAACTAAGATATAACCAACTACAATCTATCACTGTGACCATGACATTTCAAAGCCTAACCTAGTATATGGTGTAAAATTATAGTGGTATAATAATACTGCAGGGTTTTCATAGTTAGAGAGATCTTGGGAAAATAAAACAATTTCATTCTCATCCTATAGTTTTCCTGATGCTGACATTCTGAAAGCTTCAAACAACATGTGAGAGCCATCTTAATAAGTCTAATGGCATATTGTGTTTACTAAGGTATAGCTGTAAAACATTTTACACCTGATAAAAAAACATCATCACCTTGTTTATGCATTTACTTTTTATTTTTCCCTTTATCTCCTGCACCTATAGTGACATATTCTATTCTGACTTTCAAGTTATACTGGCTAAAACTTGTGACTACATGTTCTCATCTATTTAATTTTCAATGCCTTGCAAAAGTATACTTTTAAAAACACAAATAATAAATTAGTACTGAATAAGTTCCTGAACATAACATAGGCTATGGCTTTCTTTGAGAATTTGGAAGGGCAAGTTCTTATTGACTGCTATCTGGTTGACTGGATATGTCTAGTATCTTTAATGTATGAACACCATCTTTGTCAGCAGTTAGTTCTTAATATTATACTAAATAAAGAGATTACTTCCACAAATAAACACCTGTTTTGTTAATTTGATCTTTGTTATTTTTATGAAATTTCTGATCATACAGGGTTTAAAACTTCTAATTAAGTCACTGGCCAACACTGAATGCCATAGAGTTGAGAAACTCATTCACTTTTCGAACTGTTCTCAGCATCCAGATGTTTCCAGACAGCATTCAAAGATGTCTTCATGATATTCTACTCTATATTTACATGAAATAACAGAGAATATTAAAAACTCTGTACTAAGTAATTTAATACATGAATGTTTTGGATTTGTAGACAAAATATTACTTTTATGGGAGTGAATAGAGCCTAATTTCATGTTTATAAAGTGTATTTGCTTACCAAGCTTTATCAAACAGAACATTTCAAGAAGTAGCAATGTGCCCTCAAAATAACTGTCAATCAGCCCATAGAGTAAACAGTTTCTCAATGGTAGTTCAGCTCTATTCACTTAAACTTAGAGTTTTCAAGATCAGAATTGTGAAAAGTTGTCTTTGATGTTTGGGAACACACAAGCATTTCTTAAGAAATATAATTGAAAGAGAAAATCTAATCAGCTTCTGTTCATATGACTGGAACACTAGAGCAACATAAATTTCAAGAATGAATTTTCTTTCTTTGATCATCAACCGTCTTATATTATGGTTTTATTGTAAATATAAATATAACCATGTATGGGTACAGAGAAATGCAAAGGAGACGATCTCTTAAAATTCGAAAGTACTTTAAGGTATATGATTCTATCAACATCAGATATCACCATTCTAAATCTCTGTCTGTTTTCTTATTGAATTATTAAGAAGACAAAACCTGCTATTGCTACTACCAAATTTCATCTTATGAAAGACTATATAATGTTTGCATCTATGGATTCCCCTTCCCCTGCTGCAATTGGGGTTTATCTGTCTTAATTATAGTCTATAAAGTGCCTAGATATTCCCATATTATAGTAAATTACTTGGAAACAAATTTTATTACAATTTAAAATGTTTAAACATCTATATTCTCTCCACTTTCAGCATGTACTTCACTTTCAACATGTACTCAATTTCTTTCTTCTCATTTAATGCATTACAAAATTGGAAAGATTAGTAGTTCCTTGCCAAAGGAAGGCAATTCACCACTAATTAATTATTTGTATTATAATACAGAAATATTGATTTTTTTCTCAGAAAATTTACTTGAATTATGTGTTCTTAATTACAGTCTAATTAACAAGCTCCAAGATCTTTAGAAAAAAATGGAAACTAAAACCATATGACATTGTTTATTTTAAGAGATGTCAATCAATCTGTTGTGATGAAAAATCTGAATTATAGGCAATATGCCACACTGTCAAAAAATTAGTACAGTGTTAAAACTGAGCCATGTACAAATTGACTTAATTTTCAGTTTCTTCGAAACAGCAGCATATCTGGGTAGGAAATTCCTGACAGTGGCTGCTAGGTGGCATCTCTGTGCTTTTAAAATGAAGGCATCGAGTTCAGTAATGACCTTGATAGGAGAGTGGGCTTCTTTATTCTTTTACAAGAAAAAAAAATTCAACAGATCATCATTTGAACATTATAGTAAAACACAATCCCCATGAATCAGAGCGCAGGGTGATCTCCTCTGCAATGCTGAGCCATGAAGATAGGACAAAGTAAATATTTCAGGGTAGGTTTCAAACAGGGTGTTTATCCAAAAGTCCCACTTGAGGAACAGCTCAAGAAAGGTCAAATGGACATATCTACACAGTGCTGAGACTGCTCTATTTTAAGGGCATGATAGTTATAGTATAAATATTTTTGCAAAATGTCTTGTTAAGAGAACACTGCTTGAATTGAGGGAGTAATCTTCCCAACTTAAAAAAGTATGCTCTGAACTTAGCTCCGTAAAGCTAGTTCGCATCGCAGGCACAAACTATTAACTATGAGTCAGCACTAATCCCAGCACCAAACTGTTTTGTTCCAGTCAAGACAGCACAGACATAATTCCTGGCCTAAGTAAGAAAAGTGCAAGAAAGCAATGTGAGCGTAATGAAAATGAAGGGAATTTCAATAGTTATATTTCTAAATGTCTCAAAATGCCCATTCAAATGATCACCCTAAATAAGAACAGTACAAAGATCAAAGGTATTTGGCAAGACGATATAGATACACACCAGTACCCCTGTTATAATAAATACCTAGAGTTCAAGGTAACCCATCTGTATTTGAAAGAGAAAAAATAACTCTCCACTCTCACTTTGTCTAAATCGTCTGTAACCTAATTGAACTTTTACTTTGGAAAAGTAAATATTATTTCCCATTCTTCTTTCAGGAAAGTTGAAAAGGTTACAATGGCACTGATTTCCTTCATTTTCTCTAAAAAGTGTGTTGCCTGCATCTTTGCAACTGATTCTGGTGTGATTACTGTTCACTAACAGAAGAAAACTCTTGGGTTCATTATTTTCTGTTTCTGGATTTTCTCTTGATATGTATCGCTTCTCATGATATTGTGAGAAAGCATGCTATCAGGGCCCCTATTATGAAATCATTAGACAATCTTATGTGTGTGCATGTGTATGTTGCATGTGTATGTGTACATTCATGTTCATATAAATATGGACAGATACACATGATGTATGCAGACATATGTGTGATTGAGCCTGTGTGGAGATCTTAATGTAGAGTTTTTCCTCAACCTTGTTTCACTTTTTTTACTTAAAGGGGGGGTTTTCTTTCTGTAATCCAAGCTTGCTGATTTGACTTTTCTAGCTAGCCAGCGTTTCCAAAAGATTTCCTGTCTCTACATCCAGAATTTTCTGAGATTATTGGCACTCAGGGTGCCCAACACATAACGATCAGGACACTGAGTCTGACTCTTACAGGGTCAATTCTTTATGAACTTAGCCATCTTCCTACCTTCATAATCTCAAAACCTTTTTGTTACACTATACAATAACTCTCTCCTTCTCCAATATATTTGATACTTCACCAAAATTTGATCAGTTTCTTCATGGGTTATGCTTAGTGAGATCAAAACAATAGAAGACCTGAGGATAAACCTCTAAAATAATAGCATGCTGTTTCTACACTTGTAATTGGAATTCAGAAACTCCAATTGGTTGATCTTTACTTCACAGTCTGTACTCCTATCTCCTGATATGTGAAACATGGTTTATGACTTCTTTCTAGTCACCTATCCATCAAACCTGACAGGATCATTTACCTGTCTACTGATGCTGAAGGCCAACATTTCCTACTTCAAGAAAGAAATGTGTTATTTATTGAAACATTCTCTTTAAAAAACAAAGTGAAAACTTATTTCCTCTCTAAAAAGATTTCTTCTCAC